TGCCAATAGGTCACAATAAAATTCATATTTTATAAAGAAACTTGATGTTAGAAATGGCAAAAGGACAACAGTCTTGCCAAAACATCCCCATGTACCTCCCTACGCACCTCTGCCTAAATGCAGTCTAGTAAATTAAACATAACACGCTCTGCCTTGCCTTATCGCCCAAGTAACAGAGAACACATGCCACCTTCCGTGGCACACATGAATCATCTACTTTCCTCTCCATTATATTAACTAGAATAGCTCTGATCAACTGAGCTTTCTATGACTGTAATTCTTTTGTATTTACACCAATACAACTACCCAGAAACCCTCGCCGATCAACAATCAAAATTTTCATGACACATCTAGACTATAATATTAAAAAGACCAACAAATATACCTCCTTCCCAACTTAAATGTTAACTTTAAATTAGCTTTAGCTTTAAATTTTAGTGGCTTCCAATGTCTATCATGTATAAATACACATAAGTGAGATCAAAACCCACACTTGACACATTTGGATAAAAATAATGAAAATAGATCTTACAAACATCAATATCAGTCTGCTTGAGCTCAATGTTTTTACCTCTGTTAAGTCTTTGCCTTTGCTTTTTTTGCTTTTCTATCTTAAAATCTTGGAAATTTAAAGGCAGATGCCACAAGCAACAATGCTGACACTCTGCAGTTAAGCAATGTATTTTTATTTTCAGGATTGCAAAGTATTCTAAAGAAGGCATATTTGCATATGGAGCCCCAGTGCTTCCAAGAAAAACAGATAAGTTATCTGCTGCAGAGAGGAGCAAAATGAGAAAAAAAAGTCAAATTAGCAGCTCAAAGTCACCCAAAGCAAAAATGCCAGACCGAGGAACACCAAGTACTCTGATAAAACGTGAAAGTTCCCAAGCACTTCCCCCAAAATGAGGGGATTACTCAACAGTTTTCAAACAACCGCACACATGCACAGACACTTTGAAGCAGGTTTGCCACACAAAACCAGCAATTCCGACTCGCGACAGTGATTATTCTGTTTGGAGCTCGCCCTTACACTTAAACTGACAAAGGAAGAAATGACATTACTTTACTTTTTTTCCTGCAGTCATAAGTTGGCCACACCTGAAAGTTGTAGCTACTTGGGCTCAGAAACCTTTTTCTTCAGTCACCACAGAAACTAATATAGAAACTCTGGCGATTTGTTCTCCTGTTTTCAGTAGAAAATTTACATATGAATTACACACCAAATTCCTTTGGTCTGATAAACTGTTCTGGACTTGCATGAAGAAAATACCGCTTCTTCATTATCATCCTCCTCTTGCTATTCTTTGCTGTCTTTACAAAAAACCTGCACATCTAAAACCAGCAAGCGTAGCAGTAAGTCCATCTCTTGCCTTGAGTCTATGCATAGAAACAGAGGTTTGGAAATACATCCCTGTTTCAGGGGCTTTTAGATTCCCAGATTTTTCTGCCAGACAGGCCCGCTTGTTAGTCCCTGCCTTGTGTGTATTAACACAGCAATTTGTACCAGTCAAGAAATCATCTGATGCAATTTGGCTGATTCTGAAATACATAAATAACTGCATATAATAGCCTACATAAATGACTGATATTCAGGACCTGACTGCAAGACCCAAATACCAAATTATTTCCTATTACATTTCATATTCATTAATCACCATTAGATAAAGAAGAAATGAACATACACAGAGGCTAGAAACAGCACAAGAGTCACTTAGGTGTTTCCCAAGACAGAATACAATTCAAACATTGTTTTTGCACTTGAGAACACAAATGCAAACATTTCATAATCGCGCTATGTATGGGAAATCAAAACAATCCTTACCTTATTTAAAATGGCATTTTTAGTAAAAAGTCAGGCTGTGCTAGTACAAGGTGGCAGGAACCATGCCATCCTCCTTCAGCAGACTTTTCCAAATGCCTCTGTGTTCAACTAAGTCTAACTCCGCTCTGTTTTGTTTCCCCAGGAGGACCCATTCAGCACCATGTGCTCCTTTTCAGCTGTCAATAAACAGAAGCGGTGAATTCCCCGGCGCTTCACAAAGCTAGTTAGGCATAGCCATTCATTTCTTCAGGAAAACAGGGCATTGATTTCAGCAAATTCCCAGGGAGCAGCTACAACAAAGAGATCAAAGACCCACCTCCTTTCCTGCGCGGCTTTGGCTGGCTGGGCCAAGAGGAGCAGCGACAGGTTTCCCGAAAAGCGGGCTCAAGCCCCAACGACCACTGCGTGCTCCATTCACACCCGTCGCCTTCCTACGTTCCTGGGACAGCCCCCGGCGCTAACCGTGACAAACCCCTACATTCAGGCAGCATAATATACTGCACGCTAGTTCATCCAAGGATAAAAAGAAAAACAAGCTCCAAGGGAAGTCTGTTGCTTCCCTGACCAGCCGAGCCTCAGTAGCTGACAGACATTTTACAAACTTCTCTCTCTTTTTTTCCTTAGCTTCTCCATCTAAACCAGAGAAACACTTGCTACCTCAAATTTATTGTGCCAAAACTTCACTGGGATGTTGGCTTTTTTGGTTTATTTCCACAGGCCTGAAGACTTAGCTACTGGAGTTTGAGTTCTAGCTTGCATTGTGCAGCCATGACATTTTCTTTGTGCCATTTGCCCCAGACTGCAGTGGTTTTTTCCTAGGAATCTAAGGGGGTTTGTTCTGGTTTGGTTAGATTTTTTTTTTTTAATTATACATCTAGTCTTCATTAATGCGACCTGGAACAAGATTTTTAATCCTAGAATTTGACCGTGTATTGAAGCAAGCATTAGTGAAAGATGATGCTGTGGTCAGGCTTAAGGACTGGGTGGTTAAGCTATGGTCTACTACTAAACAAGAGGAGCCAGAGACTGTTACCTGGTGCTGAGACTACCTGGCATCCGCTCCATGTGTCTAAATGTTCCTCACCTCCTTCCCTTTTCCCCCACAACCGTTTGGTTACATCCAAATCCCTTACCTGGAACAGAGCCTGGTAGATATTATCCCCAAAACACGCCTTGGTGTTGCTTGTTAACACAGGCCAGTACTAAGCTGATGGGCCGGCTCTGTACTATTTACATAAAAACAGACATAAAGATCCAGAACCATTTCACATCTGCACAGATTTGCCATTTAATTCTTTAGCGTTCTCCTGTGCACTGACATTTTTCCACAGCACTACCTGGCTGTCACGAACCCCACATGCATGTACACTCCCACCAGCTGGAACCTGGAAAGTCCCCTCAGTACTGGCACTGCCTCAAGGCTATTCACACACCTTCCAAGTGAAAAGACAAACGTCTATTCCTCTAGCATGACCGAGTATCACAGGACCTGGCTCAGCACAAGTGGTACAAAATCAAGAAGACCAGGGACAGGTGGTAGGGATGACTGATCATTGCATGGAAGATAGCTGAGGACACAAGGAAATACAGAGCTGCAGAATTATCTAGGTTGCAAGAGACCTGTGGAGATTAACTAGCCCAGCCTCTTGTTGAAAGCAGGCCCTTAGATTTAGTGTTACCCAGGGCCCTGTCAAGCCATATCTCAAATATTTCCAGTGTGGGAAATTCCAGCACTTCTCTGGGTAGCCTACTCCAATGTTTAATTGATCCCACGGTGAAAATGCCTCTTACACCCAGGAGCATCTTCCCTGAAGCAACTTGTGGCCATGGCCACAAGTCATGGTGCATGCCTGGGGAAAGGAAAGAGTGCTTCCACGTCCTTCTCCATAACCACTATTTTTGTACTGGAAGACCATGACTAGACCTGCTTGAGCTTTCTCTTCTCCAAGCTGAACACACCAAACTCCTTCAACCTCTACTCAGGTGACAACTTCTCTAACCCACTGATCATTAGGAAAAGCATGAGAGAGGTGCTGAGCTGAAAAGAGAAAAACAAAAACTGCCAGGGCATAAGTTAGCTAAAACAGACAAACCAGCTTAAACATCTGAGTAGAGTTGAGGAGCCTTAAGTGATTTTGACCAGGACCACTGTGCAGTCACCCTGCCCTCCCTCCTTTCTTTAACATTTCACTCCCAACAGCAGTTTTGCCTGTGGTATATAATAGTCAGGCATTTTCCTCATTTTAGAGTTCTCCCTGTATCTAAATAACACTTAAGCGTGCCCCAAAATTGCCAGTTAGCAGATGAAGCTCAAAAAATGCACTTTCACAAGTAACTCCAAGTACAGATATCACCTCCACAGGCAGCTCCTATCTGCCAGTAAGCCACAGGCCACTGGTTACAGTTATTGGCCAAAAAAAAAATTGTTTTCTTTGTTCCTCTGAGGAAGTATTGGAGACCGATAAAATAGGTTTCCGAAATTCCCCTCTCTTACACTGCACAGTGTGCAGCCAGGCAGCCCTTGGAAGCAATGGTAAAAAATGGCAGCTGAGGCACTGGAGGAACTCCAAAAGAAAGCATGTAGATCAGATCAATAAGCATAGAAAATGTACTTAAAGCTGCAGATAGCTTAGGCTAGAGAGTGTGCGAGTATCAGGGAGACCTGAGCAGTAGTTTTTTGTGGTAGTTACGAGAGCAGAGTATAAGGATATGCCACTTGTATATTCTTTGCTGTTGAAAAAGAAGGACGGATAATAGTGATGAGGCGTGAGATTTGGATGCAACTTGGATAATAATGCCTTGAAAACACAGGAGTTAAATTCACAAAGTGATTAAAAAACCCCAAGAACATCACTCATAGTAATCTGGGATGGTATTTGTGCCAAAGATAGCTAAAACATTTTAGATAGAATTGTAATTTTAAGACTCAGTGAACCAGTCTGTTCTTATACATGGGCCAGATTTTTACAATTTTACTCATATTAAGTCATGCTTTACTCAAAGAATAATCCCATTGATTACAATGGTAATATTGTTCCACAGATGTCTTGGAAAAAACGCAAATGTAAAAGCAGACTTTATACTTAAGATAAAAGGCATCCATCATGAGCACATCTGGGAATCTGATAAAAACATATGGTACAAAAAAATCACTGTGGGATGATGGAAATGTACTTACATAGCAGGTCTGTGGACATGTTTACAGATCAGGCAAAGGAAACCTACATAAAATAAATGAAAAAAGAATGATCAGTTTTCTGAACTAGCACTACTCATGTTGAAACCTCATGCTAGTTATCATACGCATAGTTTTTTAGCTCTTTAGGAAACGAGAGAACACATCTAGGGAAATGTAAAAAGGAAGAATTTCAATTTGTAGACGAAAAGAGTAAATCCATCTATTTCTTACTTCTTAATAAATGATTCCACTTTGTTGCATAAACAATGTGAACCGACGACACTAATGCAACGCATTTTAATTAAGAGCAGTTCACCAAATCTCACATCTTCATTAACATTCATTATTAAAACAGAATTTTCAGGCGCCGTGTATTTTACCCCATTGCATGCCATTCTGTGTTTAAGCCTGCTATTTCTGGTATTCATCTTAAGACTCCTCACCCTTGCAAAGTCAAAGGGAATATTAACTAAATATAGGAGAAGACATTTCATTTGCTCTCTTGAAAGACTTCTGGAGACTTCTAGCTTTCTGCTGGACTCTGTTCATTTTGTTCCCTTCCCATTCATCTGCTGGTTTTTGACTGGAATTTTACTGTAAGCACATAGGAGCAGAGTCTGAGTTTTCTGTAGCTGTCTGAGCAGTGTCTAACACAGTGGGATCTCAATGTGTGCATGAGGCTACTTGGAGCAACAGAAATAAGGTGGCACGTAATAATAAGGGGGTATGCAAATATCAGTACGAATCACACCAGTTCATGCCTTTTTGTTGTGTCCTGTACAAATCTTGAAAATTTCAGGCAGTGTTTGAAGGTGTATGTATACGATTTAAGGTGAAAACTTGACTCTGATGAAGACAACAGTATTTTGTTGCTGACTGAAATGGGTCAAAGAAAACATCTTCATTTTTAAAAGTACAATGATTGTTAGTAAGGTACTTCCAAACTAATGGGAGCTGGTTGGGAGAACTGAGGGAAGACGACTATGGAAGGCAGCAATAAAGATGACAGGAAAAATGGATGGCAAAGAACGATGAGAACTGAGGAGGAAACAGACCCAAGGAGAATAAAGAAGTGGTGAATGGAAAGATAAGGTGAATGCTGAGCACGATGAAGCAGAGAGGAATCAGTGGCCTGCTGATGAGAATTTGCCAAGGACAAAGCGTGACTCTGCCACATTGTCCGTAAGCAGGATGAGGAAGCTGAGATCCAGCCACCTGCTGAAATCTATGAGGACACTTTGGTTCCATTTTCAAGTTTGAGAAGACCAAGATAACACTTCTAGGGATCCATTGCTAGCACCTAAGTTGCCATCTTAGCTTGAGGATGTGCCGTTTGTCCCCACATACAAAAGCAGCCATACTGAGCATTCCCCCTAGCATTTACTCAAAACCATGTACATGCAGATCATCATTACTGGGCAACATACCAAGTATGCTGATTACATTAGCAAGTTAACAACTGCTAAACTTACATACCCTCATTTAAGTGCTTGCAGACCCAATCCCAAGTCTAAGACACGCAAAGTTACTAAATCCGACTTGCTATCTTACCATGTGTCTCATCACAACATAAAGCCCCAAGGATTTAAATTGTCAATCCTAGCATAAAAGACAATACATAAAGAAAATAACTTTTACAGATACTCTGCACTCTGGAATTTGGAAGAATTCTGACGACACAATACAAAGAGCTGCCTGGTCTTTCCTTCCCACATGCCTAAAAGCCTATGCTGCTTTCACCAAGCAGAAGACAAGCGCAAGCTTTGCATTTTAAAGAGTGATTTGCAGTGGTGGGTGGTGAGGGGTAGTTGACAGGTATACTGTAGTCTTTATTGCAGAAAATTCATATTTTCAACACAAACCCAAAAAGATTCCTCCCAGCTTTGGGCTGCACACATTCCCTAACATCAGTGGGATAAAACTGACAGGGAACAGCTCATCAGAGACCTTCAGCTGGGAAGACACTACAAGGAGAGATGCTTCAATTGCCCATGCACAAGCATCCTGTGTCTTTGGAGGTGCCCTAGGACATTTGAAGCATCCACGTGAGGCTAATTGATAGCTATAATGTTGATTATACAGGAAAAAGACCAGGAGCTAGAAGCCAGGCAGGGCTGCCCAGGGCATCTCAGATGGCACTGGACACTTACGCTTCAGCAAATTAATCAAGTCCTGCAATATTGCAGTTTGCCTGGTTTTACAAGAAGCCAGGCAGAGAACAGACAGGCTGCTGGTACATCCCTTCTGTCTGAGATCAAGGGGCCTGCAGATTGAGGCACAAAACACAAGCGCTAGCACATCAACTTCTCTTCTGTAACCTCTGTCCTCTGCCAAAACAGCTGCTGCGGTGAACGTACAGCTTATAAACTGGCTTTTGCCTCTGACTGGGGCTGTGTGTAGATGTGAGCGGGAAGCAGTACGGGGGCCCATGCACTAAAAGGACATCAGTGAGGAGCGGCTGAAGGAACTGGGGTTGTTCAGCCTGGAGAAGAGGAGGCTGAGGGGAGACCTTATCGCTCTCTACAACCACCTGAAAGGAGGCTGTAGTGAGGTGGGAGTCAGCCTCTTCTCCCTGGTAACAGGCGATAGGACGAGGGGAAATGGTTTGAAGTTGCACCAGGGCAGGTTTAGGCTAGACATTAGGAAAAACTTCTTCACCAAAAGGGTTGTCAGGCTCTGGAATGGGCTGCCCAGGGAGGTGGTCGAGTCCTCACCCCTGGAGGTATTTAAAAGAAGGATAGATGAGGTGCTTAGGGACATGGTTTAGTGGTGGGATGGCAGGGTTAGGTTAAAGGTTGGACTCGACGATCTTAAAGGTCTTTTCCAACCAAAGTGATTCTATGATTCTATGATTCTATTCTATGATTCTTTCCAGGTAAAAACAGCCATGCTGAAAGCAGGCTTTCTAAGCAGCAAGTGTCTAGCCTAATTTCCATCGGCCAGAAAACGCTTTCTTTCTGCAAAAAAAACTACTCTGCAGTTTGATTCCATTCTGGCTGACAGTGAGGCACTTGTCTGTGGTGTTAATTTCTAAGAATTCAGGCCTTGCAGAGGGCACAGTGGACTTTAATGGCATCCATATGTGACTGTACACACACCAACGTCTGTCATCCCCAGAAACAGCAGGCTACATGTTGTCGCTGTCAAAGCATTGCCACCAACTACTAAAGACTTCATCCCCCCACTGAATTACTAGGCAAAATTATTTCATTTTGCTGGCATTCAATCTGCAGGGCAATTACCTGGTAAACCACCACAACACAACAAGCTCTCCCCTTCCATATGGTTTGAGTCAGCAGGATACCTTCGTCCCCCACATCTGGTCTGCAGCAGTCTCCTGCCATGAGAAAGTCCAGCCTCAGTCCACCCTCTCCCTGCCCCCTCCATGTCTGCCATCCAGCCATGTTCCAGTGACACTGTGGTCCGCAAACGTCCCAATTAAGGTTTGGTTGAATTGTTCTGTGGTGTCACTTTGGTGGTAGAGGAGGGGACATGGAGAAGAAGGAGCACATACACTAGCTGGGACAGAAGACCGTACCTCTTGACACAGAGACTGCAACAGGTCAGAATGACATCAGCAGGACTCAGATGAAGAGTAGCACAGTCCAGAGCAAAACAAACACCTATGAGACACCTCCACTGCAATCAAAAGGCTAATCTGCTGCTGGGGGGGGGAAGGCTGGAGGGGAAGGGCAGCTATCAGAAGCGTGAGGAAATTCTCCATTCACTTATTACTCAGAAACAGCTTCAAAAAAACACAGCAGAAAAGTGCTATTGCACAGGTTGGCTCTTCCCTCCCATCCCTTTTGCCCATGCTAACAGGGCTGCCTTTTCCTGCAGTCTGGAGGTGACACTGCCATCTACCTGCTGTCCCTCACCGCATTAAAGGCGCTTACCAGCATGGGCAGGTCACCTAGGACATGGTCAAAACTACAAGACTCTGCTGCAGAAGGTTTGCCCCAGAGAATGCAGACACTATGAAGAGGATAACCATAAATCAACAAAGTGTCTATCTCCACAGGCCATCAAATCCTGGGGAACTTCCTCTCTTTTTCCCCCTTTGTACAGTCCTCTGATGAAGCAGCATTACCAGCAGCAACCCTGTAGTGCCCAAGTCCAGCCCTTGGGGAGGACACAGAGACTACAGACCAAGAGGGAACACCTCCGTGAGGGCATCCCAAGACAAGCAACTTGCCAAACAACAGAGCAGCAAGTGCACCAACACAAGGAACTCTTGTACTCCTCTTCTAGCAGTCAGTTGGGATGTTATCTCTGACAGGGTGAGGACAAGCACAGCAAGGTGTATCTGCAGAGGCAAGGGAGTGTAAGTAGAACTGCAAGTTCCTCATAAGCTATGCCAGCTCCTCCCCAGGAGTTACCCTCAATATGGACCCAGAACTGTCTGTCCTCCTAGCTGCAGAAAACCACCACTGTAAAAGCCCTCTCCTGCTTGAAGGTCACCCCTCTGGTGCATGAGGGTACCTCTTGCGTAGTGTATTGCCCTCCAAACAAGGGGGCTGCGACACACACAGAGTCATGGCAGCCACTTATGCTGTGCCAACCAGGTCTGCTGGTTTCTGGCCACATCAGTCACTTGTCAATCTAAACTTAGGTGGCTGGCCAGTGGCCATCCTGGCCTCAGTTTAATAGTCCCATTGGCCAGTCTTCAGTGTTTTCACTCCTTGTAAACCACATTGACCTTTACATGAAGTGTTGTGGGTATATTGGCCAAATCTGCTGTGCTGCCCACACACCCAAAAGAAGTTGTTTGTGGTTGCTCTTAAATACCGTCCTTTTTCATCAATGAATGGGCAGAAGAGGAGGAGGAGCAGAGTGGGGGATGTTTCTCATACATGAAAATTGCAGCCTTGAAAATTTGAGGCAAAGCCTTATGAGGTTCTTATAGGCTTTCAGGTATCAGGAAATTAGCATATACCTTTAGGTTGAATAGGACTTGATGGGTTAAGTATAATGGATCGTTAACAGTCTACAGAGAGCAAAACAGTGATTATAGGTGCATTGGATGATGAAAAGTTCCATGCTTT